TCCCATTCGTTCAACTCTGTTTTTGTCTCTCAGGAGTCTTTGAAATGTTCCTCATAAAGGTTTTGTACATTACTGCTAGGTTTGGTTTATTTTATTTTATTTTATTTTATTTTTGAAATGGAGCCTCTCTCTTTCACCTATGCTGTAATGCAGTGGCACGATCTTGGCTCTCTACAACCTCTGCCTCCCAGGTTCAAGCAATTCTCATGCCTCAGTCTCCTGCGTAGCTTAGCTGGAACCACAGGCACGCACCACCTTGCCTGGCTAATTTTTGTATTTTAAGTAGAGATGGGGTTTAGCCATGTTGGCCAGTCTCGAACCCCTGACCTCAGGTGATCCACTTGCCTCGTGGCCTCCCAAAGTGTTGGGATTATAGGCATGAGCCACAGTGCCCAGTCATATTTTTTTGATGACATGTTAAACTTCTTTTTCTGCCATTACTTTTACAAGATAATATCATTATTTGGGATTGCCAAGTTAAGTTTCATACCATATGAAAATAAACATAATTTTCTTTCTTTCTTTTTTTTTTTTTAAATAAGCTAGTTCCTTTAAAATTCTTTTTTGAAGAGCAAAGTTTCTAAAATGACCACCCATGCAATAGGCCCAAGGATGTGAGCTACAAGCACCTCTAAATCCCTTCAATTTACTAAGTCCTAGCCAGGGAAATAATAGAAACAGACTTGAATGTGGAAAAAACCCCCGCAGCTCCGTTAGTTTGATTTCTGGGAGAGGAAACTAAAAGTTGGTTTCCTTCCAATGAGCATTCAACAGGTGCAAGTGGTACAGAGAGGTTTTTCCTGCTAGAGAGATCAGAAGATAAAGCAGAAGAAAGATCAATTTCATTCTTCTACTGGGCTACTAAGCATCCCAAGCCCTTCCATATTCCAATGAAACTCAAAAAAATCCCAATGAAGAAAGGCACACAGGGGGAAATAGGGGAGGGGCAACGGGAGGTGGGGAGCTGGGGAGAGAGAGCATGGGAAGAAATGCCAGATATAGGTGATGGGGAGGAAGGCAGCAAATCACACTGTCATGTGTGTACCTATGGGACAATCTTGCATGTTCTTCACATGTACCCCAAAACCTAAAACGCAATACAAAAATAAAAAAAAAATTTTTAAAAAAAAGGCACAGAAATGAGAAACTTGGCCTAGACATCTCATCCCTTATCCCTATTAATAATAGTAAAAATAAGAATTGCTATTTTTAATTCAGTGCCTACTAAGACTAGGTCCTTCACACATATAATGTAAGCAATCTATCAAATTCCAATAGGCCTGCAAAGAAGGTATTTTAGTTATCTGCATATTACAGACGAAAGACTCAGCGAAGTTCAGTAACTTTCTCAAGGGATCAGACAGCTAGTCAGTGCTAAAATGGGATTATGACTAAATCCCACTGTGCTTTCTTTGCTGTCACTTTGTTGCAATGCCAATTAAAACAATGAAGTCAGCAAACATTAGACTTTAGTACTTTTCTAATGTAAGCTTTCAATACCACTGTTCACCATTGATCCGAGTCATATGTTCCAGAAATACAATTAGCTTAAATATTAATCAAATTTTATATTGGCTACATCCTCTGTGTCTTACACTATTATACGCTAACATATTTTTGAATTATTGTTATTGTACATATTTCTCTTTAAGCTTCAGATTTATCTTTCTTTTCATATTCATCCAGCCCGGTAAAAACCTACTAAGTTCATCAGATTGCTTGGCTTTGTAAATGGCATATTCATTTATATGGTTAAGTTCTCCGGAAATAAGCTTTCTTTGCTTAAAGACTGAAAATTACTAAGACTTTTTATATTTTAATAATAAATTCACAATTTTCTACAAGAGCAAACCCTTCAACAGGCTGATCCTGATGCCAACACATAAAATATCTTTTCCTTTTTACTAAGGCACTGGTCTGTGTTTGTACAGTTGATCAATAAATCAAGTAATTCAAACTTTTAAAACAAAAACCCCATAAATGTTGGTATAACACCTTTAAAATGCCAAAAAATCAAAATTAATGGATATAGTTTCTCAGACAGAAACAGACTTTAAAACGATCTGAAATTATCTGATTTCACATATACGTAAGAGTCTGAATCATTCATGTATGATAGGTAAATGTATTTGTAGTTAAAATTATATTATTTTAAATTACAACCTCATTTTATGTTTCTAAGTTTTACAGAGTTTTATGTACTGTAAAATCATCTATATTAACTTTTGACAGGTTTATTCTGGTAAAGGAGATTTGTACCTGAGCAATCTACTTGGAATAAAAACCATAAATGTCATTTTCAAATAATGTCTTCCTTTCTTCCTTCTTTGATAAAGTTCTATAAATACTATCTATACTTTGGTGATTTAAAAAAAATCTTCAACCAGTTTTACCAACTAAACCATTTTAATTTTTGACAATAGTGTAACATTTACTCTAATCCTTATTCATAATAACAAAGAAATGCTTAGGCCAAATCCCTTTTTACTACTGTATATGTAAAATAAACCACATTACTAAAAGTCTTTGACTTTACCCACATACCTTTTCCTTTCCTTTCTTAGCGTATAAATCATGAACAAGCAAAGCTTTACTGTAGAGTCAAATAATAAATATTTTAGGTTAGGAAATCTATAGGGTGTTTGCTGCCAATTACTCTGCAGTTGATGCACAAAAGCAGCTGCCACAATACGTAAAGGGATGGGTGTGGCTGGAATTAGCTGGCACCCTACTGCATGTGGCCCATGGTAGCAATGTGCTCACCCCTGAGCTAAATCATGAGGAAAACATGAAAAATACTATCCCTACAGTCACCCAGGTATCTTAATATTTAGCCTGACAAAAGAAACTATTCACAGCCATGCTAAGTATAGACTGCCTTAGCACCGAATAGAATTAATCTTGACCCAGAGAATGATATATATAAAAGTCTACTTGAATTAGATTCTACTTTTCCATATAACCACAAATTTTTCTTAAGTATTTTACCAAACAAGGGCTCACTCTCACTCTAGCCTGATTTTCTAAACTGTCTACAACCAGTCTCTCTCACCTTTCCCTAACTCATCCCAATTCCACTGTATTCTATAGATTTTTTTGTCCCAGGAAGGTTAAAATATCACCACCTTCTCTCCATACAAAGAGTGAATTGTATTTCCCCTACCTCTGCTACCAGAGTTGGAGGCTAACGTCATTTCCAGTCTTCTTCTCCATTGCTACCTTCTACTACATAAGTTGGACAAGCTAAATGCTTATTTTTTTAGCCTCCTTTGCAGCCTACCATGGCCATATCATAAAACAGAGGACTTTTATAAATATCATATAAAAGACTACTGGGTGGAGAGTAAGGAGGGCTCTCATAAAGTTTTTATGTTTTTAAGAAGAGGGAGAGATAGTTATAATTACCAGGACCTCTTCCCCTTTTCTGCCTATTTTAATGCCTAAAAATGCAATGCCTAGAATCGGATCAACCATTAAAAAAACAAACAAACAAACAGAATTGTAAAGATGCCAGCAGTGAAAACATTAAGCCACTGAATCTCCATGACCTCCAGAGTTCTTGTTATATGAGAAATAACAAAGCCTGTAAATTGAATTTTTGTTGCAAATGAAAGCATTCCTAACCTACCATTTCTTGAAAATGCTAGGACTTACAGTACTACTCCTCATGAGAAGCGGAAGAGTAAATAAAACTGGCTGAGCAGTTTGTTATAAATTCTGACTAAACAGCATTCCTTTAAACCTGGAGAAAAAGGTAGCAGGAAGAAAAACACAAAAGACAATCTATCTTGAGGATCAACAACCAAGGGCAATGAAGTCAAAGTGGGCAAAAAAAAAATAGAGAAGGTAGGAGATGTAGAAATGTTAGAGATGTAGAAAAAAATAATAATTGAAAAAGCAGTCATCTAGAATTGTAGGCCCAATCAGCCTTATTAATGTTATACTCAGCAAATCAATTCTGAGAATTCTGATTATACTAATTTCCTATCATGAACTCCCACTGCTTGGAAAATAAAAGTTCAGGACTCTGTTTTTATAGCTACAGTCTTGTGTTTTTCAAGCTAATTATTATAATTTATCTTTATGTTTCAATTTCTCTGGTATTCACAAAGGCATAGTTACTGTCAATACATGATCATTTTGACATGTGCAGAATCTTTGAAACAATTATTAAAAATCAAGTTAATGATGATACTGCCAATAAGAACAATGGTTGTTTCACGCTTTCACACACTAGTTTAGCTGGCAGATCCATCACTCTAACTTGAAGGACTTCTCTTCTACATCAGTATTACTGCATAAAATACCAAAGATAAGTAATTCTACCTATTGAAAAGAAACTTCAGAAATAGCTTATTTTAACACGCCTCTAAAACATTACTTTACTTTCTTACAAATAATGCTATTCGTGCACAGGCGTGCACGGGCGCACGCGCGTGCGCGCGCACACACACACACACACACACACGCACACACACACACCCTCTCTAGTTCTAAACCCAATAGTTTTCTGCTACATAAGAAGGATTTGGTGGTTTTATGCTGCTATGTGAATACTTATCAGTTACAACATCTATACAGTAAAAAAGATATTTTTTTAATTTTTATGATTTCAGAGCAGAATTCCTAGGACTGTCAAAGCTTTAACTAGAAAGAATACCAAATACAAGGAGGTTTCCAGCTCAACTACAGTAGTGGAACACAATTTAATAAAGTTCCAACACTACATTTTAATGCCCAAATTTCTTACTGTCTTTTTTAGTTGACAAGTATGTACTTACCAGCATAACAGCAGCAGAAGAACAGCTGGATGGCCTTATCAGGCACAAAGGAAGCAACAGCACATACTGTTAAGTGTCGTTCTGATTGCCTAGAAATGGCAGCACATGCAGATTTATTCCCTGTTATAAATTAGAACAATTATTTCTCTGGAGTTTACCTTGTCTTCATGAATAGCCAAACTTCCTGCACGTTAAAAAAGAGGACTTTCAAAAGGATATCTTCCCTTTCTTTGATGATCAGTTCATTCTGTTCTTCCAACTGCCTGATCTTCTTCTCAAAGGACTCCTGCTCCGCTTTCAGTCTTTCCTCTGTCACTTCCTTTTCCTCACTTACTCTGAAAGAAATAAAAAAAAAATTTCTTAACGCCTAACAGAATAAAATTAAATATGTGCCTACAGCTGCAGTTTACAAAAACCAGACTTCTTCCAAAGGTACACCAAATTCTTCAGGAACACTCTGTTCTGTTTTGTTGTTGCTTTTTAAAAAATGTAATCTCTCATAAGGCAATCTTTTTCATCTTTGTAATAAAAGATGCATGTAATTTTTGCATTAAAAATGTTTTCAATCATCACAACTATCTTAAATATGAAAAGCCCTACAAAAGACACAGGTGCTAAATTATAATCCAGGACAGAAATATATTCCAATTTTTAAAACATGGGGTTTCATTTTTTAGTTACCAAAACAGGTACAATCAACTGATCTTGATTTACAATGTTTATTTAAATCCTATTAATAAAATAAACAAAATATGTACTTTAAATATTTTACAAATATATACTGGCAATTTTACTTTTTCCTAGTACTAATATTCTGCATTCTTTAGTAGCATATAATTAATAGGATTAAATATAGATGACATTAACATAAAGAAAGGTTTGTAGTATCTGTATTCTTAGTCCCAAAAAAAAAAATCATAAAGTTAAAAACATTGACCAAGAAATGCGTAACTCTGAAAAGGATTCTAACTTAATTATACCAAAAAGGGTAATTTCTGACAAGAGCACAGAGAGAAAAAAAAAAAAAATCTAAAAACAAACAAACATGAACAACAGCAACACTATTTGCAATTCACTGAAGTACAGATTGGGACAACCCTAATTTTCATTCTACTCTGTGTGCAGATACATTAACCCCAAATTTCTCTGTTACTGGTACTTATTTCTCCACAGCTCATAGAATGCATTTATCCTATAATAGGAATAGGCATAAGTGAAACACATGGGGAATCTAAACCTTTCCTTTGAGCTACTAAATTTACTTTTGCCCAGAACCCTACTCTACTCGAACAACTTCTGCACAACATGAATCTCATAGGTTTTCCTTCTTTCCTGCCCTCTGGTAGAGATACTAAAATCAATGAAATAACTAAAAATAGACTCATGAATGTTCAAGAGTTGATTGATTGTATCTTGTCTTTGAAGTAACTTGTGTGAAACCACATAGCACCCAGTAATGCTCAATAAATAGGTTTATTTCTTCTTGCTCATCATGTCATTCAAGTCATTTTTCCTGGTCCATGTATTATTTATGTTTAGCATATCACTAGGCCCATGAATGGGATCCAGACCCTTCTTTCAAAGAGGGTAATCTCAAAGACTGATATATTTACAAAGAATTCAAACAACTAAGCAAATATATATATATATATATATATATATATATATAAAGAGAATTTATAGTCTGTTAACAGGTTATCCTGCTTCCCTTATTTCCATCCCTTTACAATGTCTTCCCTTTTCCTGTTATTACACTCAAGTCCACTTACAATAACATCTTTCAAAGTAACTTTGACAAAGTCTGCTTATCTCTCTGGGTATCATTCATCTCACTAACAAAGAAAAAAGGCTAGACAATTTAAAAAATCCTTTTCCACTGAAGTTCCAGAATTTCTTTTACTACATCATAGATATCTTGACATTGTATATATATCCTTTATAAATATGGAAAGCATTTGTAAAGAAGCAAAAAGTTATCAAACATTTGGTCATGGAACAAGACATATAATACTATGATTTTGGCAAAAGCTATGCCGATAGGATGACAGAGTAATAAGCAGATTAGGGAAATATTAAAAAGTATAAAGATGTGAAATTTGGCATGAGATACAGAAATGCAAAACAAAGGAAGTGATGAATTGGTAGGATGATACATAAAACAAAAAAAATGAATGATGCTACATACAGGTTTAGTAGTCCTTATCTAAATGCTTGGGACCAGAAGTGTTTCAGATTTCAACTAGTTTCTAATTTGGGAATATTGATATTACTCTATGGGTAACATGAAGAACTTTTTTTACATTTTAAACAGTATCTTTAAATCATGGAGCATGGAATAAGCAAACAGTGAATAACGCAAGGAGGTCTTCTTCCCAGGTGGGGCACTGTGAGGATTCTGCTGTTGGCATGTCCAGCCTGCTCAGGTACCTTTATAGGATTGCTGGTGTAGGAGAATTTGGGCATGCTCAAAAATGCTCTAACACAGCTACAGGGGTTTTGGGAGGGTTTTTCCCTTGTGAAGGTACACTAAATAAACTGTAGCTGTATGCCTGTGTTTTGACTGTGCCCTGTCACATGAGCTGTGGTGTAAAATTTTCCATTTTTAGTAACATGCTCGTGCTCAAAAAATTTCTAATTTTGAAGCACTTCAGATTTCAAATGTTTGTATTAGGGATACCCAATCTGTATGGTGAGGAAAGAATAAACACTATCAAGGTGAGAAAATACATAGCAAAATCTCTCCCAGTTTAGACTGGTAAAATCTTGAAGACACAATGACAGAGGAAAATCCATAAGTAGATACGGAAACATTTATTTTATTTATTAAAAGGTATTTAGTGAATACATACTAAAGGAAAAAGTAATCACAATCATCTTATTCAGTATAGAGTATCCAAAAGGGAACTAAAAAATGGCTTTCTGTAGTTTAAATCCCATTCATAAAAGCTACATATAGATGGAAGAATGTCCCAAAGATTTGTTTCTTCAACAGGCAATGCTCCATGATCATAGAAAACAGTAACAGAAAAGCAGATTGCAGGTTTACCTTAACATTAATCTAAATGCATAGATTATCTCTAGAGCCCAGCCAGGTAAGAAATTCCATGTCAGAGTCTGTGATGAGCTTTTCCCTAAATATATTTTATCCAGATAAAATCATTCTTTTCTAAATTTAGTTTTCGGGGTAGGCTTGAAATATCTGTTGCTACGTTATTAACCAGGGCTTTTTCTTTTTAATCTTTTCTGTTATGCTGCTATGATTCGACTATCCTTTAGCAATTATTAAGCCCTGGAAGGCTATAAAATTAACAAGCTGTATTAAGAACAAAGAGCAACATTTTTTCTATAGGCTTATCTAAAGATATGCATGGTTTTTTTGTGGTCCATAGCATAGTTAATATGAGCAAGTATATTAATACAGATTGTAAATGCAGAGGACCTGCCAATAAAGCAACCTCAAGATTTGATATTCATTATGAAATCTGTCTTCTTATGTTCAACAGTATTTCCAATGAAGTATGTGTAACAAGAAGATATTTGGTATCATGATCCATATTTTTCATCTAAGTATTCTCAGGCCACAAAGTAAAATAAAAAGACCTAATTCTCTAACTCATTTTAGAGAACAATAGTTAATCCTAACTTCTCCAGAGTTTCACTTTCTATGGTTTCTGTTACCTGATGTCAACAGTGTTTCAAAAACATTAAACGGTAAATTGCAGAAATAATTAATTTTTAAGTTTTAAACTATGCACCCTTCTTAGAAGCATGATGAAATCTCACGCCAGCCCTCTCTGTCCCACCAGGAACATGAATCATCCCCTTGTCCAGCATATCCACACTGTGTATGATTTCTGCCTGTGAGTCACTCGGCAGCATCTGGGTTGTCAGACAGACTGCTGAGGTACCACAGTGCTAGTGTCCAAGTAATACTTATGTTACTTTCACTACAGTACAAAGTTACATTCATTCTATTTATTAGTAGTTGCTATTAAGCTCTTACTATACCTAATTTAAAAATTAAATTTTATCATAGGTATGTACACATAGGAAAAAGCATCATATATACAGGGTTTTAGGTATCCACTGGGGGCTTGGAACATATCTCCTGCAAATAAGGGAGAATACTGTACAGCAAAAAGCAAGTTAACACAATGAAAATCTAAAAGGGAACTATTCGACTAATAGGATAAAATACACCTCCTTCCAGACAGAAGGAGATGTACAGTGTTGATTTGTTAATTATTTACAAGAAAGGCAATAACCTGGTCATAAAGAAATCATCATTGTTGGTAATACCTTAGAGTACTTTTCAAAAACTTCCACGAAATGTACTCTTATCTAATAGGCAGGAGAATTCATACTGTTAAGAATTGGGTGGTAGGGCTGAAAATCATGCCAAAAGTACTAAATTTATTTGAAGTCTTATGCTTTACCTTAAACATTCATGCACATTTTGAATTCCTCTCAACAAAACAATCCAATTTTAATATAAAGAGTTTTCCCATACTCACATATTCTAAAATTTTAAATAAAACTAATTTTTAAATAAAACTCATTTAAATAATTAGTTCATTAACATAAACTAATTATTTTTAATAAAACCAATTTTTAAATAAAACAAGAAATGGATTTATTTTATGCCTTTGCATACACCTAATATTCTTCCAAATACTCCAGAAATTGGTACTTTTACATGAATGTGAAAGGCAATGTCAAGTCAGTAAACCTATCACAAAGAGAATTCTAGCTCACCTAATAGTCAAACAAGTTTCTTCCCTCTTTAATAACTATCATTTGGGAGCTGGGTATGCTCAATGTATTTTGCAAACTATGATTAGCAACTTGGTGGGCAAGATTGGAAAAGGAAGGAACAGATTTCAGAGTATGCCTAGCAGATAACAAAAACTCATATTGTTTTTAAGCAAAGGTAATTGCATTGATAAAAAAGGAATTTCTCATTACAAAGAAATATTTCAATGAAATCAGTTTAACTCCCTCTTTACAAATTTTAATGTTTGGCTATTATTTAAAATGTACTGCTAAAGGAACATAAGTGCTTTCAGGAATCACAGACATAGCAATATATGTCTAAAAGGGCTCTACAAACTACAAACCAGTATCTCTTATGAATATAGACATAAAAATCCTCAACAAAATACTAGCAAACAGAATGTAGATATATAAAAATAACTCTACATGATTACCAATTGGGATTTATCCAAAGAATGCAAAGTTGGTTTAATATCCAAAAGTCAATTAATGTAATATTATATATAGATAGAATAAAAGACAAAAATCACATGATCATTTAAATAGATGCAGAAAAGCATTT